GGACCATGTGTCTTTTGCTCACCAGTTACCTCAGGATTGGCAGAGACAGGCTGTTAACATGCACACATCGAAATAATCCATCAATCCATTAATGACTCATTCCTCTGTTCATTCCAAGGGAAATCATTTATTACTAATATTGAGATGGAAAAAGTTACTTGATTAAGGACAATGTATAGAGCTGTCATGCTTAGGACTCTTCAGATAGGTTGGTTAAGATAATTTAAGACCTTTAAAAACCTGTAGAAAAGAGTATCACTTAATCTTATTTTAATAGGTGAGTGTTAAACCTCATATTGTTTATGTTCTTTATTTTGACAAAAAGGAAGACTAGGAGAGGGGAGGAGATAGGAGTGAGAGAGAAAAAAGCAAAAAAGAACTGATTCTCAAAAGGTATAAAAGATATGGTTAGCAGAGATTAAACAGACTCTTAAGTTTTATTTGTAAATATCCCAAATAACTTAAAACTTGTTAGCGGGGAGACTTTATTTCTATGTGACAACTCACACACACACACAATTCCCACTTCTTTAGGAGCTGCAGAACAGCTTTAAAAGCAGCTGGTTTATCAGTTGGTAGGGGGTGAATAAGAACAAGTGCTGGCAAAGATATGGAGGAAATGGAACCCTCATACATTGCTGGGGGAGATGAAAAATGGTGCAGCCACTTTGAAACAGTCTGTCTCAAAAGTTCAACACAATGTTGCCATATGACCCAGTAATTCTGCTCCTACATATAACCCACAAGAATTAAAATATCTCTATGCAAAAACTTACATATGGATATTTAGAGCAGCTTTAGTCACAGGAACCAAAAACTGGCAAGAGCCTAAATGTCCGTCGATGATGGATGGATATAAAAAATGTGGTATATCCATATAATGGCATGTTATTAGCCAATAAAAAGGAATGAAGTACTGGTACATGTTACAAGGGTGAACCTTGAGAACACAACGTGAAGTCAAAGAAGCCAGTCACAGAGGACCACATACTATGTAATTCTGTTTATATGAACTGTCCAGAGTAGGCGAATTCTCAGGGACACAATGAAGATTAATGTTTATTACGGGATGTTGGGGCTAGGGATGAATGAGGAGTGATGGTTTATGGATTTGGAGGTTACATGCTAGAGAGATTGCTAAAAGGGATTTTGGTAATGGTTGCACATGTCTATTAATAAACTAAACGCCACTGAATTGCACACTTTACATAGGTGAATTACGTCTTGACAAAGCTGTATTTTGTTTGTTTGTTTTTTTAGTTAAGCAGGATGAGATTGGGAAGATGACGCTAAGTCCTGGGATTAGACTAATTCTGGTTCTTCTGCCTATCGCAGGGAGCCTGCTAGAGAATGAGGTGCTCCACGCTACCCACTTTCTTTTTCACATGGCTGACCTCCTATTGAGGCTTGATTTATTATTGAGGTGAGAAGGTTGCAGTAGGCAATTCTGAAAGAAATCTACTTGGTATCACTTTTAAAAACATCAAATGAACAATTCATCAAATGAGGCAAAAGAAACTAGGCTTACAACAACCAGCTCTGATGAGATGCTTTCCAACAGATACAGAGGTAAGATGGCCTACGAGTTAGGACCCATGTTGGCCCACTCACACCAGGGCAGATTAATTTTCAAGAAAAGGAAAAACTGAAATATTTGATTAGAGTCTTGTGTCTAGAAGACACTAGAATTCTCTTTCATCCTTCTTGCTGTATTAGTGTGTGGGGTGTTAAGCATCTATGAAGTCTATGAGGTGCCAGACTTTTTAAAGGTTATCTTCTTTTATCTCCACACCAACCCTATCAGCTAGATGGTATTATCTCCATTTTACAGTTAAGGAAACAAGTAAAATTCAAACAGAAATCATCTTAAAGGAAGTTTTCCTAGACTACAGAGCCAGCATTTAGAAGAACTGTTTGACTCCAGAGCCTAGGCACTGTCCACAACCATATGTGGCCTCCCTCTGCTGTACGAGAGCAGAGGCAGAATTGCTTCAGCTACTGCTCAAGAGAACCTAGGGCAGAGACTTGCAGAGGCTTTGAGCCTACCTCTCTTGGCCCAGGCCACCCCTGGCAATTGGATAGATTTGTGGTCTAAGTCCCTGAAGTCATGAGTAGACAAAAATCCATCCTTCACTCGCCAGGACAGATACAAACCTCAAGATAATTTGTTTTCCAATGGTTTCAGCTTAAAGTTCTGGTTTGGCATTGGCTTTCTCACAACTAGCAGCTGTAGGCAATTTTCACACAGAATAGAGACATCAATAAGGCAGAGAGTGGAATTTTCTCCCTTATGAATACAGAACAATGAGCTGTCTTCAAGATGTACATGAAGCTGCCACCACGTGGGCTCCTCGCTCTCATTTTGGGAGGCTGACAAAATACGACTGAAAGGACTGTAGATGTGGAATGCTTTGAGGGTCCCGGCTCTGCCTACCAGCTCCACTACCACTGAGAGCAGTCATTAGCTATCAGCAACACCTATGCCCCTCGGTTGACTTTTTTTTTTTTTCCTTTAATCCAAACACCAAATTGAACCAGAGACTTTCAGTTTTAAAACATTTTAAGTGGGAAATAAAACCCTGCCTGTCAATGCATCATTACTGCCCTTCTTGACTGCTATCTTGGTAGATGATTCACTGCCCCTCCCTGCAAGAGGACTATGTGCCATCTGCCTGCCATGACCTCAGGTTTGGCCATGTCACTTGTGGTGCTGATCCTGATGGAAGAATGATGCCTCCTTACCTGTGAACTTGTGTTGCCGTATGATCTGCACTGGCCAATGAAATGTGGGCACAAGTGACATGTGTTATTTCCAAGCATAAGCTTAGCGCCTATGAGTGGTTTGCCAGGTTTGTCTTTACTCTTCCACCCTGCCTGGGTATTGGACAGAAGACAGAAGGAACAGAACTATAGCAGACCCACAGTGGACATTCAGCACAGCAAGCATTACACCTCTGCTGTTGTAACCAATGGGGTTTTGCTATCACAGCATAACCTAGTTTAAGATGACTGAACCAGCCATTAACATTGATCCCCCCAACTTCTTTTCTCACCTTCAATTCCTGCTGACAGCTCGCTTCCTCCAGAAAGTCTTCCCTATCACTTTCCTCATCCCACACAACACATATTACACACACACAGGCAATTTGTGATTATTCTTTTGGTGCCATTATACCTTCTTTATAATGGATCTCCTTTTGCTACCATCAGATCTTTGGGGGCCAGGTTCTAGCTTTCTATTTCAAACTTCCTTGTTAACACCTACAACAGAGTTCTTGATGCAGTGGAGATCAGAGAAGAGAGAAATTCCTTAAATACTGAAAATATTCAACAACATAAAATGCAAGCACACTGGTAGGAGTCATCTTTTCTTCCCTGACCAACTCTGGTTGGCAATAGGCCCATTGCTCCATGCAGGAGACCAGAAATCAAACATTAGCTTCAAAGCCTCTCTCATACTGGCTTATCTTTCTGCTTTGTAAGTGAATTCTGGTCTCTAAAAGTTGGAGTGACACGGCCAGTTCAGATATTACCCCAGGAGAGCACTGACACAGCATATAGTACGTTCTTGACCTAAGAATCATGCAAAATGGATACTATTCTCTCGTGTCTGTGGAACAATATAAATGGTCCATTTAGATCTAACTCCATTACAAAGGAGATCATGTCCTTTACAGACAAATGGAGAGAGCTGGAAGCTGTTATCCTCAGCAAACTAATCAGAAAACCAAACACCACATGTTCTCCCTAATAACTGGGAGCTGAACAATGAGAATACATGGAAACATGGGAGGAAACAACATACACTGGAGCCTGTGGCAGGGGGTGGGGGTATGGTGGAGTGGGCAGAGCATCAGGAAGAACAGCTAATGGATGGTGGCCTTAATGCCTGGGTGATGGGGATGACTGATCTGTGCAGCAAACCACCATGGCACACGTTCACCTATGTAACAAACTGCACATCCTGCAAATTTATCTCAGAACCTAAAAGTTGAAGGAAAAAAAAAGAACTAACTCCATTACAAAATGCCAGTGGTGATCAAGGCAGGATACAGTATTCACACAACCTTTATTAAGCATGTTTAAAGGCCAGGCACTGGGCCACTCCCACTGTGTACTATTCTCACTGAAACATTATGTCAAACCTAGAAGGAGATGTTTCTTTCCTCCAGAAAACAGGATCAGAAAAATAAGACGAGTTTTTTTTTTTTTTTTTACAATTATGCAGATAAAGTCAGAGCAGTGATTTAAATGAAGGTCTTCCTAATTCCTATGCTAGCACCTTTAAACTATGTATGCCGTAATATCCTCTCGAATACAGAATGGAAATAAAAATCACTTGATACTTGAAAAGCTAAGCTGAATAATGTACTTACATCTCTTGATGAATGGGTCCTGCACTAGATACATCCCTCATTTCAGTATACAGGATTCTAAAATATGACAGTATCTATAAAAAGATTCCCACAACAGTTATTATTCTAATTCTATCATTAGGCTAAGTAATGATGCTGTACTTAAGTAATGTCTTTCACCAAAGGATCAAAGACAGGATGAGAAGTATGATTAACTTTTTAAAAATACATTGATACTATATATTGGGTGTGGAGGTAGGGGAGCATTAGGGAATCTGGATAGGTGTGAAGTAAATGAAGGAATTATTTATGCATACATGCATAGAGTAAGGTTGGGATGGAGACAAATTAGGAAGAGCAACTTAAGATGCAGTATTGCCACATATTTGAAGAACTGAAGGTCTAAATACCCCCATCCACTTAAAGCACCAGCAAAACACTTGGATGTTAGTAACACTACTCTCTTCTAACTCTTTCTTCTCCACATGTTTAGTGCTGACAGTGAGAGTGCAGACATAAAGGTGAATGGGGGCTATTTCGCTGAAAAGGAAAAGTCTACAGCAAACCAAACCAATCCATTCACATGCTCTCCTCTTCTCCTTCCCTGGCTCCCCACCAATGCCAGAATAGAAAACTGGAACTCACCACCAGTTCACTGAACATGACATCCAGCTCCTCCACAGGGGGCATGGGCAATGCTGGCTCCATGGTCTGAAGCGCAAAGTTGCTATCATTTCGCAGCCGATATGTGATTTCTGGGTGATCATTATTTCGGAAACAGCAAAAGATGAATGAAATACCTCGTCCACCTCTCTTTCTTGGGGCCATGGCTGAATTCTGTTCTATTTCTTGATGTGACTAAACTCTGCAAAAAGAGGACATGACATGGTTAAGAGTACAGGAACAGACAAAATAATTTTTAAAACGCCAGACCAACTCGAGAAAGAGCTCTGTGTGCTGGTGACATTGAGGGCGCTCTGTAGCACACAGAGAAAACAACACTGAGTGGATTGGAATCCACTTGGGCAGAGAACACAAACCTTCTATTCACTTGTTGAATGTGTTTCCTGCAATAACTGCTGAGCAAACAGGACAACTCCAGTCACTTCCCCAAAAACATACACTCTAATCATTCTGCAGTACTGTCTGCTCTTTGTACATCACATTCCCTTTCCTGCTGACCCAGTTTGTTCTTGTTACTCTCCTTGGAAGAATGACCTTCTCTTCCTTGCCCCCTAGCAGATCTCTTTCTTATCTTTTAAAGTCTGATTCCAATTTCTTCTTTACCTTCCCTAAATAGAATTAATAACATATATGCTATGACATGACTATCCACTCTAGCATGGTCACAGTCTAAGCTCTTTATGAGTGCGTCTTCCTGTTAGACTGTGATAACTGAAATGAGGGGAAGAGGCTGTGCATCAAGTACTTTGTGGGCCTAGTGCCCTGCACAATGCCAGGAAGAGAGGAGGCACTCAGTAAATGTTCATTGTATTAACTAATTTAAATTCACAATAAAGCCAGAGGGACTTGAGCTAGAAGGGCCAGAGATTTTCAAGCTGAAAAGACTAAATGAGTTCACCAGTAAGGAAAAGAAATGGTTAAATTACACACACACACACACACACACACACACACATTCACCTAATAGAATATTACACACTAATTTAAAAGGACCAAGGTATTTGTTTATACCCTTTTGAATCCAAATTTTCACCACAAAAATATGTTTTAGTGATGATAGAGGATATGTTTTAAGTTACAACTGTATATATTGCCTTGGAAAGATTTCCAGTTGATGTTGTCTGTTGAAAAAAGCTAGTCAAAGAAGAACAATACGCATAGCATGATGCTACTATGTCTTTTTGAAAACCTCATACCAAAAGCCATACATGTACATTTATTTCCACCAAATAGTCTGGAAGGATAGACAGCAAATCCCTAATTCTTCTCTTCTGAGAATGGAATAAAATTAGAAAAAGGAAAGAAAAAGAATGTTCTTTCCATGCTTTTTAAAAAATAGTGAACATATATTCATGTATGACTGTTTGAAGTTTTCAATGTTTAAAAAGAGATGAGGTTAAAAAAAAAAAAAAAGTGGGATGAGATTGGCCCTTCAAAAGATGGAAGGGCAGGGTAGCAGAAACATATTTAGGTCAGGAAAGGTGGTAGAACAAGGCGTGAATGCCTTCCACCCAAGCAGACCACTCATTCCTTCTTGCTCTTATCTTTGTCTTGTAACATCCTCCCACCCTGAAAGTACCAATCCTGAGAGTGTACCCACTGCTGCTGATAGCTGAAATTCAGTTCAACATTTCTGAAGGGCAACTTATCAAAGGCTTAAAATAGCCACATGTTTTGACCTAGTATTTCTACTTCTGAGAATGTAAGCTTAGGAAATATTCAGAGATGTTATAAAAATGTTTTCACAGAAATTTCCAAAGCATTATCTATAAGAGCAAATAAGGGCATAAAATAAGTGCTGGTAATGAAGGACTATACAGAAAAGGTAAATAAATGATGGTACAACTAGATGACAGACTACCAAGCAGCCCCTTGTAAAATAATATTTAATGACATGCAAATACTTGTGTAAAATAAAGAATAGGTATACAGGGTCCCATTTTTGCAAGAAAAAATTCACATATATGAACAGGAAAAAAAAGGACAAGATAAATACAACAAAATGCAGGCAGCAGTTAGTTCTGTGACAAATGTACAGACTACCCTATTTAACAAACAAAAAGACTCTTCTGCACTTCCTAAGTTGCCATACTGAAGACATACTACTTCCATAGTTAATAAAGTAAGATCTAAAAACTCCATTGATATGATTATCTGCTTATATTAGAGGGGGAATATGAGTATGCAAAAATATTCCTATCAAAAATATCGAAGTTAGGGTAATCTACATACTAGCTTTTCAAACTATCTGTGGTAAAGGACTAGTTGTTTTCATCCAATCTGCTATAAACTGAAAGATTTCAGCAATGTCAAATTGCTATAAAAGTTAAAATGCTTAATCTCAATTCTTGCACTCAGCACAGGTAGGCAGCAGCAACACTGATGTACATTAGGACATGGGAGTCATGACTTATCTCATGAACATATAACTGTTAATATTTGTCTCTGGTATGTGTTCTTGGGGCAGGAACCACATCCCACTCAGAAGCCAAGCTAGTGTCCTGCACATCTTATCCTCGGTAAACTGAAGAGAGATTATTCAGGGACTACTGACAAGATCTGTATGACTGTGGGAGACAGGGAAGTATTCTCCAGGAAGGCAGTGTTCAGGCGAGTGGAAAACGAGGGTAAGAAAATAAAGTAGACTAAAATAGGCAAGGGCCAGCTCATGGAAGGTCCCGTGGCCACGTTCAGCCTTCAAATTCATTTCCAGCCATCTCTTTCAGGCAGTCTTGCTAATATGCCTAACTGGGTATGGTCTGGGCCCTCTTAGCATCTTGTGACCTCCATCATGTACAGCCAACATTTACTGTAAATCTGGGTCTTTATCCTCTCACTGAGGAATCGAAGCGTGAGGAAAAGTGTCATGGAACATGTCATTTAGTGTTTTGCACATAGGAGTACAGCCGAAGTATTTGGGGAATAAATAAACATAGAAATAGTTTTCCTTTGGCATGTTACAAGTTTCACTTAAACCGAAGTTACATCACATTCTGGCTGTACTGAGGAGGGGAAGAGGGTGGGGGGTAATATTAAGATCTAAAAATGAGTCCAAAGCATTTTTCAAGTCTTAAAAAGAAAATGCCAACAGCTCTAAAAATAATATGAAGTTCTTGGCTAGTTTCAGTAATAAGACAGAGTCTACTACATTTAGGAACCTAATTGAAATCCTTTTAATTAGTACCAAAATATTACCTTTGACAGGTTATTTGTATGTGGAAGCCTCAGTGAAACCCAAAGGCCAAGTTTTTATGCTGGCTCCTCCACAGATTCCCAAATACAAGATCCTTTATTAAACCCATCCTTAAACTCTAGATGACGGCATGTGTTGGAGATTTCCAACAAGCATTCGTTCTTTTCCCCATATATGGAGCTCCACTATTCAGAGCCTAGTCTTTTAGATACAGACCAAAACACTAAACAAAAAGAATCATTCCACTGGACCCCTCAGGAGCATCTGCCCACCTTAACTGCTCCAGCACTTCACCGACGAGCGATTCCCAACAACTGCCATGTACATAAGATTTAATACATACATTTGCACCTGTCACTTCATCATCCCCATTTCACAGGTGAGACTTAAGAGGAGACTTGGAAAGAAGGGGAGCCATCAGGAAGATGGAAGTTTGAGGGGCCACACACTGGAGAGAGGTCTCTGCACTGGCCCTCAACAACTTGATTTTCTAGCCCCCATCTCCCAACACCCCAAAAGCTGCCCATGCCCATACACACTTGGTTTGCTGGTGAAGGTAGAGATGTTTATGCGGAGAAGCCCATACACCATAAAAGTAACAACAGCTGCCCTACCCCATCATATCCATCCATTTCTGAAGTCAAATGTTTATCAAGTACAAATTACGAGCCTAACAGTCCAAACAGTGTGCTGGGCACTAAGGGAAGAGAGATGAAAATTAGAAAAGATTCCTGTGTGCTTTGGGGAAGGCAGGAAAAAAAATCAAGAAAACTAAAACATGACTCCTGAAGTTGGTTCATGTTACCAGGGATGCAAGGAAGAAAGTGAAGGGCAATGGTGGTAGTGGTGGGAAGGCAGCGCTTTCAGACAGTATGATCAGGGAGGGCCTCTTCTGACCAAGGCATTTAAGCTGAGACCTGATGGATAAAATGGGACTAGCCCTGCAGAGTGCTGGGGAAGAGGATTCCGGGTAAAAGGAGATGTGTGTGAAGCCCAGGACAGGTGAGGAGCCAGCACATTTGAGTCGCTAGGGAAGACCAATGTTGCTGAAGCCTAATGCGCCATGGCAGGTGCCGAGTCTTAGGGGTACTGGGAAGGAAGAAGTTGGAGACAGCAGGGCCCAAACCAGAAGAACTACATGCTAAAAGGATGTCTCTGACCTGGCCTTTGCCAATTTTATTTTCTGGACCCCATCTCCAACACCCTAAATATGCCTCATATGCAGGCACGCGCGTGCACCCGTCAGACCTCAGCAATGGTGGCACCTCTCAGCCCACACATCTACAGTGTCTTCAGCTTAGGGTGTCTTCCTTCTTTATCTGACCCTCTTCCACTCACCATTCAAGACTCTGCTCAAATATTGCTGCTTTGTAGGCCTTAAGTTTTCCAGACAGTTACATATTTCTTTCTACACCCCTAGCATGATATACACACTTGAGTGCCTTTTTTTTAAATGTCCATTTCACACACTAGACTATGAGATTCTGAAGGCAGGGACCAAGGTTTAGTCAATTCCTGGCATGTAGTATATTCTTAACAAATGTTTGTTGAATGCAAAAGCATAAATGCCTAAGTGAACAGATGGTCTCACCTCTGAATGTCAGAGATATGTGACTGGGTGTTCTTCCCATAGTTGTCTGAAGATCTGTTTTCAAAACCACCAAGGCATTTGGAGCCAATCAGATCATTAAGTCCTCCTTAGGCACTTGTCAAGCTTTCTGATGCTGTCAGAAGCCTTAAATGAATTCCATCCTCGGGATATTTGCAGCTTTCCAGCTTCCCCAGAGTGAGGAGTTTCTGGCCAAACTAGCTGGTGCTTGGTTTTTCAACTCATTCCCAAGTAAGTGCTATTGAAAAGAGGCCCGCTGATAAAATATTTTAGACATTTCCCTAATATCTTATATTCAGTCAACATTTTACCCAAGAAAATACTCATTTACTTAGTCATCATGATCTGCACTTCCTCAATACACCCACAGAGTGTTAGG